CTGTTATATTCAATTTCTTAACTATTTGTTCTTTGCATGCTGAGGCTTGCGATCATTCTAACTGCCTATTCAAGGAGTTTAATAAAAATGTATAAAATATTTTTGTTTAAAATTTAATTCTGACTATAGACGAATTTTCAGACACATATGTTATGTAGCGTCCAGTGGGAGGATTATTAAGAAGACCAGATTTTAAAGGAATCGGTAATTATATTCTTTAAATATTATCCCAGCATTTATTTATCTCGAGCGACTAAGAAAAAACACGACAAGACTTCAATCATAATGGGCAATCTCCAGGCGCAGATTTTATTCCGGCTTCTCCGAAATAAGAAGTAGAAGATTAAACCGTTCAGATATAATTCATTAGTTCTGAATCAGAACAGGACGAGGGCTGCCGAAGTAACTTGAAACACAGTTAAAAATGACCCAAAAATAAGGCGGACCCAATAAATGGCTACGTTTGCAACACATGCACACGCGTTTCGCCATTAAGATTTATCCCGCGCTTAAATATTTCTTGTATGCGACATCAAAGAAATCGGGAGACAGGCACGTGGTAAGGAAAAAATGTGCACTGTTGTAAGCTCGTGTATTTAAGGCAAACACTTTTGGCTCTCTATCGAATCAAATTATCGATACCCTTGAATTTAACCGATCTAAGGCCTTTACGTTATCTCGTTACAGAGGTGGCACAAATTATCCCAACAAAATGAATCTTTGTTACGTCAGACAGAGAGAAGGGTTAAATAAAACATCTTTGGGCACAGCAACACGAAGCTGCCATTATCGAAGAAAGGGGTGCAGCTGAGGTACAGGCTGTAGTACTACTCTGTTTCAGATTGATAGGGGTTATAGGGCATTGCCTACGCTCCTGTATCCCATTATTCTAGTCCACTGCGTGATCGAATGGGAATGACCAGCATACAAAATACTTTGCACTGCAGATTTCAATACAGCGCTCGTTTTCTGGTTCAACTGAAATCCGAAATACGCGTTAGACTAATAAACTGTAAAAAGGGGCGCCACTGTAACGTTTTAAGCCTACATCGTGTGGTCCCCGACCATGTATCTTGACTGTCCTGAGTCCCCTTGCGGATGTCCGCGGTCCGTCTAGGTAAACTGCATTTTATCGGTTTGAATCAGACCACGATTGACTTCTTCTAGTTTCATACCTTTTCACAGTTCATTATCGTCTTCCCACATTATTCGAAGCTATAAAACATCCGCAGTTTAAATGAGTTTTATGTTTCATAATTTAGCCAATACGCAAGAGGCGTGAAGTTAAAGGTGGATGAAGAGACTTACTTGCTTAGAAACTTCACAATTTGTACTATTCACCAAATAATGTGAAGTTCTTTGCATCAGAAATTATAAAACGAGGAGAATATTTAGTAAGAGTGAGTTAAACAATAAATAAACATAATTTACTGGCAATCGACCGACGATTGCTATTTGCCAATGATAAAGGATTAATCAAATAATTACATTATCCAGGTGAAATTTCAGGGTCTCGCGGTAATGATTACAACTAAGACTGTCTTCTGGAACGTTGCGCTGTGTAGTATGGTAGATTGTGACCGATGTTTCAGAGGATCCTATTGCCTTCATAATCAGGGAGACGACTAAGCACCTTTTAAACGTCGGTTAAATCTATCGCTTTACAGTCCGTAAAATTCTTGCATTACGCAGTCTAAAGGCCCTGTTATTTTAAGACAAACAGGAATTGTAAAGTGTCAAAGGACAACACGTGGGAAGTTTATAAGAATGGTGATTTTGAAGAGACGTGTGACGAGGCTATCAGGTCCTATTTAGGGTATAGATTCCCATTTCTATGAAGAAAGTGGAGACAGACGGTTCCTTAGGGACATGAGGATACAGGTGCGTGCCACATGAACTATTACTCAGCTAATATAATCGCATATCATTTATGTAATCCTGTAAAGCTCACATATT